GCGGCCGGGGGCCCTCGGCCGGAGTGGGGCAGCCCCGAGGGACCACCGCCGCCCGCGCGCCGCGAGAGCCTCACCAAGAAGGCCAAGCGCTTCCTTGCCAACCTGGTGCCGCGTAACGCCAAGTTCTTCAAGCAGCGCTCCAGGTCGTGTCACGACCTCTCTGTGCTCTGAGCCGCGGTCGCCATGGTCACCGCGGTTGCCATGCTAACCGCACCCTCCGCTCGCCCCCTCGCCCCGCCCCTCCCCGGTCCGACCGGCTTCCCTTGCGAAGACCGTCTAGGAGGAAACCAGAAACTCTCGGGACGCCCTGGAGTGACCGCGGGAGGCGCCCCCCCCGCCCCCAGGCCCCTGCGGGCGTCGCCCCCACCCGTTCCGCGCGCTCTCCGGTTACCTCCCATCCCCAGGGCTCCTGGAAGGCGAGGACGCCGACCTGCGGGGGTGCGCCGTGGCCGGTGGGAGGGGAGAAAGGTAGTTCTGCAAGATGTTCTGTTTTTTATTAATTCGCGCTTGACTATCTCCCCTGTAAAGAGATCCTAAAAAGCAAGAACTGGAAAAGTGCTTTGTAGACTCCTTTACAGTTTTCCACCTTTGTACTCTGCGCGAATATGCCTCAACTTTAAGAGATTCTTAAAGGTAAAGACACGGAGCTGCTTCTTTTGAGACTTTTCCTTAAGCGTTCTGGCTCTTAAGCTGCACTTGTCCACTTTGCCTTTAAGAAGTTCTTAAAGGCAAGGGCCTGGAAGCGCAGTTCTCCAGAATTAATTCTGTGGTTTACCGACTCACCACCGCACTTCCCCTTTAAGGTTATTAAAGGTAAGATGTGCAGACTTTTGCCTTCAGCTGCCAGCGTGGAGAGCTGAGCGGTGGCAGCTCCCATTTGGCCGGGGCCCAGGAGGCACCAGCCAGGGGACCACCTTTTCCTTTTCAATAAAGAATTTTTCTACTTCACTTGCTTACTCTGACTCTGTTCTCAAAGCCCCCATGGAAGGGATGAATGTAGATGGAAACTGTTACAGACAAGAAAACTCAGGCTCAGAAGACTAAGGAACCTAGATCTCTAGAGAGGCTCCAGAACTGACTTAGTCCTGGAGTAGTCTAGGACGGGGCAAAAGGCCCTAAAGATACCACGGGTTCAGTTGCCCTCTGCCAGCGGAAAAAACAGGCCTGGAGAGGAACAGGGACCTCCTAGAAGTAATTTAGTAACTCAGTGACACAGTGGATCAAGTCCCCATCTCCTTACCCCACTCTTATTTTGCAAGGAGCAGCCTGGAGGCTACATTTTGTGTCCAGAGCTACACTGAGCTGTGGCCTGGGCTGGTTCAAGGTGGGGCCCACAACCACAAGGGAGGCCCATCAGCTGGGGTGTGATGGGGTTGGCCTGCACCACCCCTGGCAGGGCCCCACCACCCCAGCTGTCACCTGCAAGGCCCGTGTGAGAACTGAAGCTGTCAGTGCCTCCCCTGAGGACACCCACGCTTGCTGCTGCCTGAGCCACGAGTTTGAACAAAAGGAGCAGAGGCAGCAGCTCCCCTCACCCCTAGACGCACAATAAAGCTACCAGAGCACCTGAGGACCAGGCCCCCACTCCACCCAACCCAGAACTCAACTCGATGGAGAGATGAGATGTCTGCTGAGTCCTTACTGCTGGAGAGGAGCCAACAAGGACTAGTGGGCAGGGGTGGTGAGATGATAATATGAATAATGATACTATCCTTAGGACTTTATTCACTTAAGCTATTAATTCTTTAATGACTATATAAGGTGTTATTGCCTTTTTTTTACTGTGGAAGCAGCAGAAGGTTTAAATAGCTTGCTAGAGGTCAATAAGCAATTAGAGGTAGGCGTCCACTCATGTCTGCTTACTTAATGGGGGTTTTATCCAGCTTTGCAGCTGAGGTTCCTCTTCCAGTAAGGATGGGAAGAAGAGGGAGAGGGACTATAGAAGAAATGCAGGGGACACTATGGGCAGAGCCATGGACAGTGGCTGTGGTAAAAGGGCCAGAGAAATGACATGCCTATAGTGGAGTAAGCCAGCTCTAAACTCTGGGGACCAGGAACACAGGCAGTTCAAGTTAGAAAATGCAGGAAAACACACTGGACCCATTAAGAGACCAGATGGTTCTACAGTTGGGTTGAAACCTCAGGGACATGAGGAGGAGGGGTAAGAGACAACACTGAAAAAAAGGGCTGGAGCCCTATTGCAAAGGACCTTAAATGCCAGGCAAAGGAGTTTGTGCCCAACTCTGTAGGCAGTGAGAATCAGTGACGGTCTCTGAGTGTGTGACATGACGAGGCTGGTCCTTTGGGAAGAGAAGGCTGGGAGAGGTATGCATGGACTGGAGCAGCAGAGGCAAGGCCTGAGGAGCTGCACTTAGGGTGCAATCACAGTAATACATACGGAGGGTAATGAAGGACCACCCGAGGGAGATGGCAGCAGGAAAGGAGAGGTGGCACAGATTTTAGAGTCAGAATTTATGAGACTTGGCAACTGAGTAGCTGGGTATAAAGAGAGGGAGGAGTTGCAGGTGGTAAGAGGATGGTGAGGAACTGGGAATAGGGGGCAGAGGAGGTAGCCGGTGAGTGGCTCTATCCTGGAGAACCTCGAGTTTGAGATGCTTAGAAAAACATCCATATGGAGAGTTTCAGCAGCTCCCTGGATAACTGAGTCTGAAATTCCGAACAAGTTAGGACAAGAGACACAAATATGAGAATAGTCGCCAGAAGAATGGTAGTAGAAAACCAGAGAAAAGAATGAGATGCAGGGCAGTCACACAAGTCCCTCTGCTTAGATTAATGCTCTGCTCTCCCTTTAACAAGGAGCCCTGCAATTTCATTTTGCCCAGGGACCCACAAATTACACTAAGGGAGATACTAAGGGGGAGGGTGTAATATATAGGCTGGATCCTTAGCCTCAAACCACACATGGGCTATAGGGGTCTGTGATTTCTGTGAAATGGTACAATCTGATGTGTTTGTGCAGTCACGCATTTGTCTGAGAATAGGTTCACAAATCCCATCAGACTTCCAAAGGGGTCTGTGACCCAACAGATCACGAATCAGGATGGTACTGATTGCTGCTGAGAAGGGGAATCGGGTGCGTGGAGGACAGGTATGGGAGGTTTACTTTTCATTGTATGCCTTTCTCCTACCTTTTGAGTTGTTAACTATGGTATACCCTACCTGTTCAAAAAGTAAATAATTTAAAACAAATCAAAGTTTGGTGTTCCAGAGAAAGAAGAGGGACAAAAGAGAGAGTCCCGGGGATAGGCAGGTGAGAAGGTGGAGATGCAGCCGCCAAAGAGGTAATGAAAGAACTAGGATTGAGCTTACCGTGGCTACTGCCCAGGGAGGAGGGCTTTCTAGTGGAAGGGTATCACCAATGGTCAAACGTGCCAAGAGGGAAGGATGAGGAACAAGAAGGCAGTGCCTTTCACGTGGCAGAAGTCTGAAGATGATGACAGCAGGACCTCCCTCACGAGGGGAGCCACACACGCCACAAGCTTCCCTCCCCTCAACTCAGCCAATTCCATCAGCCCGACCCATCTGTGTGTTCCCTCCAGCCGCCTACAGGAAAGAGCTCAGAACAGACGGAAGCTGAAGCCCTTCTCCCGCCAGACTTGGGAGAGATGGGGTCTTCTCCAAGAGACTGGCCATTCTTTTCCCACCCTCTGATCAAGGCAAGGTAGGGCCGGCTACTGATCTGGGCTAGTGTGAGAGATCAGTAAAGGGACTGGGGCCTGAGCTGCCTGTGCCAGGTAAGGTCCTCTCTGCCCTCGTGCTCCTCTTAACCTCTGCAATTTGGTCTTGGGGTCTATGCTCCCTTATCAGCCCAGCCCCTGCCCAACCCCTACTAACCCACAAGGCCCTCTCATTGGCCAAGAGCATAGACCGGGTGTTCTCTCCCTTGAGATCCCAAAGGTGAGGCCAGTCCTGTCTTAGAAGGTATCCCTCTGCTGTGGGCCTCTGCTCACAATTGGCCCTTTCTGCCCTGCT